GCGTTGATGAGAGAAGGGCACTTTAGGGGTGAAAACATGGGTGTATGCTAACTAAATCAGTGAGAAAGCGTCATTGAACACAAGTGTGGGTTCGAAAAATTTGCCCAACAACTTAGCTAAACCGCATTATACATTCGGGAAGTCTGAAATAGGCGAGAAAAGGTCATTTCTCAGGACGAATTTCCATATTTTTTCAAATTTCTTCTGCTCAATATTTCACAGAAACATTAAAATAGAATGGCGAATATTTTTAATTCTTTCAATATTATTTAACCTATGAAAACCGGAGTAGAAACTTGAGGATGATACTGTAGTTTTTACGCTTTCCACAGGATAGTTTGCCAATAGACTCATTACGAGGCCAAACTGTGCTATTTGAGCATTGTACACGAATTCCGCAACAGGAAAAAATCAGATATGTAGCGGAATCCACTTCATTGCTTTTGTTCTTTGATCTTCTCTGTTGTTTTGGATTCCATGGACAAATAGCTAAGACACTGTAGTGCTCAAAATCGTTCCAAAAACAGGCAACTTTGCGGAAATAGCAACAACATGTATAGAATCCGGAGCCAATTTATGAAATCCATGAACAAATCATAATATATGCGTTTAAAAAGTTTAAGTTGTTGTTGAATCCGCGACTGTAGGTGGAATCCGCAAATTGTAAGCGGAATCCGCAAAATGTAAGCGGAATCCGCATAAATTTGCGGAATCCTCTTAGATTTGCGGAATCCGAAACAACTACTTATATTCGCTCGTTGCTGAACCCGCAACAAAACCAATGTGCCGACAAAATTTACGTTACAGGTATTTGTACGCGGAATCCACTGAAAGTTTGTGAGTGGAAACCACTTACATTTTGGATCATGTTTAAAGACTTGTCTCTAGAATCCAGGACCTTTTGCGCCTATCCAGTGCACAGTTTGGCCTCGTAATGCTTCTAGGAAACTCCACTACAGCTGTTGTCTTTCCTTCTGATAATAAGGAGCTTTTTGTGGATTGTTTTCGGCCTTTCTCTTATGTAAATTGTCATTAGATACCTTTCGAATAGCCTAGGAAAATTATCGAATGCAATAATTTAAACCTATTTAAACCTATCCAATTTAACCAACAATTTTTAAATTGGCTTTCAGGGTTTCAACTTGATATAAAAGTTGTCTTGTTTTGGTTTCAGTATAACTTTGAATGCTCTGTTCTGAATTGAAGATGTTCTGAATTGAAATCAGAAACATAATTCTTAAACTTTTACCATATGCTAGCTTGAAGTTATGTGTTTGCTCGGTTGATAAAATATCACCAAAAGCAAACATTACAGCATGTGTTGTTTCTTTCTGATTGGTTTAACCAACAGATGGAGTGTTGAAAATATCAAAATCTACGGCAAAAATATACCAAATCATAATCATCAGATTCGAACAACCATAACCAAAATCTCACAACCACTCTCATACTGAGACCCCCCAACCGTCCTAATCACCAAAATCTCAAATCTCTATCTCGATAACTATCAATCTATACCCAATGTCTCTTGATATACAATTGATGTGTGTCCCCTATATTTGAAATAATAAACCTATTTACGAGTGAAAGAAACATTGTCTGTTGAATAAGAATAGGAAAGTCTTAGCAACATTCAGAAAGACCCAATGTTCTGACTAGCTGCGATTTGGTCGATCGCAATAAGTTAAGTCAAGTTAGTTTGGAATAATTGGTGCGATCTCAAAATCTCAAAAACTGAGAGGTTGAAAATTTCTAAAGTTGAAATTATCAAAAATTCAAAATTTGAAATTATCAAAATTTCAAATTTTCAAACTTTCATAAAGTTGAAATTATCAAATTTCAAAATTATCAAAACTTCAAAACTTTAAAAATAGAATTGGATATCTTAACTTGAAAAAAGTAAGATGGCCAATCACCCAATCATCCATCCTAACTTGTCTTTTGTATCTTTCTCAGGAAATGATTTAGACCTAAACGCAAAAGCCTTTTGGACTTCAGTTGAGAATAAAATTGTATTCTCACTAGGGCAACGACCCACAGACGCTGGCGCTCAGCCTAACTATGATCACAGACAAAAAAAATTGTTTGGATTTCTATTAACAGAAACAGCTCTTGAATGGTATACTGATGAAGTAACTAATGCTACTACTTGGGCTGAACTAAAAAATCTTTTCCTAAAAAGATTCACTGATAGTAGAGATCGATTCACGCATCGATTCAAGCATCGTCTTAAATTGCAAATAAAACCCCTACCAACGGCCGTAGACACGTGCCAGTAAAAACAAATACGGCACAGTATAGTTTGTCAATTATAACTGAACAGCCGGCTTTGCTAAAACCTGTCTGAAACAAACAAATTTTATCAGAATCTTACCTATATTAACCAGCAAAAATAAGTCCAGAATCATTCTTTCAAAAACTTTTCAACCTCCAAAACCTTCCTCTGATACTTCTCAGCAATTGCAAAAATCAATAAACTTCAAAAATAATGTCTAAAATCACCATCTCGAAGAAGGTGAAAAATGGACCTTGATCAATCAAGGGACGAAATAATCAATGATTTGCTGAAATTAAGTATAATTTCTATTTTCCGCCGCCGTCTAAAATTAAAAATTTTTTGATTAGCTATACTCTTTTAATATTTTTCCAACAAATCTGCGCTTTTAATCCAGAGGACAATCTCTACGCTAATACAGCAAAAGATCCAAAAATTGCGCATTTTGATTGTCAACTAATGACATCGAATAAAATGTTCTCACTTAATAAAGTAGCTCCCTGCAAAATGCAACCTGAAAATATCGAAACTACAACAACCCAGGTTACTCTTTACCAACGGCATTATAGTACAAAAGTTAACGCGACAATGTGTCGTATAAAACACCAATCTATCCGATGGTTTTGTGATTCTCTCGATTTAAGCGGAATAGACGCTCGCAAAAATATAATCACAACTGATATACACATTTCCCCTGATACTTGTAAGCACGCCGCCGAACGGGGAAATGTTAAATTAGGATACTCAAAAAATTTCGTCAAGTTTATACTCGAAGCTCTTGTATTTGTAAAAAAAGTGTTACACATACACAAACTAACCGGCCGAACTCTTCATTTCGGAAAAATTAGGTTAGCCGCCTCTTACAAAAATTTTTCACTTCTATAGTGACTTCAATATTCGCTCAAATTGAGAACGATCAAAATATTGAGCTTGATCATAGGCCTCAAGCACCTCAACAAGAGGATTCTGAAAACGAAAATCATGATAAAATTTATCCTATACTCCAACTAGTCGATTACAATAATCGACCCGCTGTACAAGTGTAATTTATTTTATGTTTTAGGATATGCCCACTGATCTTCTTCAAACTCCATATGAAGAAGACTTGCTCGATTTCGAAAACCTTCTGTCTCTAAATGACCCTATGGAAATGCCATCCAAAATAATCAACCCAATTAATCAACCAAAATTGAATACCAATTTTAAAATTCCAAAAGTGAAAAATTCTAATTGCATTCAAAAGAAAAAAGCAATTGTCCGACCTTTCAAAATTCTCCCATTTTTTCAACTAGGTAAAACGTAGATTCTGAAATTAGATCCTTTTATTTTTTAACCTCCAACTGTGGTTTGGCCACCGCCAGTTTACAAAGTATGTATGCTTCTACAATTATAGTGCAGTATCGCTGATAAGTATATTCGCTAAACTAAATTTGAAAAAAGTATCCAGTTGTGATTTGGCCGCCGCCACAACTCTACAAAACACTGCTCTGCTCTACATGCACCTACACTACAAGCAGCCATTTATCAACCGACTACAAGCAGCCATTCTTCAACCGACTAAAAGCAGCCTTTCATCAACCGACTGCACTACAAGCCGCCACTTTACGAACAAACTATCAAAATCAGATATAAAAACTTTACGCAAACTCTATTAAAACTTTTTTGATGTTTTGTAAATTATATTATGCTTTTAAATTTTTTTGTCAACGGGTATCACCGTTTAACAATCACCCTATAAGATGATTGGATGTTCTGAATGGAAATCAGAAACACAATTATCAAACTTTTACCATATATTCTGACTTGAAATCAGAAACATAATTCTTAAATTTTTACTATATGGTAGCTTGAATTTATGTGTTTGCTCGGTTGATAAAATATCACCAAAAGCAAACATTACAGCATGTGTTGTTTCTTTCTGATTGGTTTAATCAACAGATGGAATGTTGAAAATATCAAAATCTACGGTATATAAGCCAAGCGAAAATATACCAAATCATAATCATCTGATTCGAACAACCATAACCAAAATTTCACAACCACTCTCATACTGAGACCCCCAACCATCCTAATCACCAAAATCTCAAATCTCTATCTCGATAACTATCAATCAATACCCAATGTCTCTTGATTTACAATTGATGTGTGTCCTCTATATTTGAAATAATATACCTATTTACGAAAGATACTTTGTGATACTTTATGAAAGAAACTTTGTCTGTTGAATAAGAATAGGAAAGTCTTAGCAAAATTCAGAAAAACCCCTTGTTCTAACTAGCTGCGATTTGGTCGATCGCAATAAGTTAAGTCAAAATAGTTTGGAATAGCTCTCAATGAAGTAAACTTATCGGTGAGTTAGTGTGAATTGAAATGCATTTGCCGAACGCTTTGAGCAGAATGGGATGAGGGTAACTATAAAATGAAAAAAAACTCCTGCAACTTGAGCGGAATTTTTTAAAAAGATTTTTTTCAGATTGAAAAGTAGAGTTGAAACTCATCAGCGAATCCCTCTTTTTAACATTTCAAGACATATACATAATAAACAACTCTCGCATAAACATCAAACTATGCAATTCACATTTTTTGGAAGAAACTTTTCCTAATAAGAGAACAAAACTTTTTATTATATCAAAAATTTTATTTTTGTAGTAATCTAACCTAATGTGCGGAATCATTAATTATTCAGTTTTTGAAAAAAATTCTGGTTTTACAAGTTGCGTGGAAATCAATTATTTATTGAATATATAAACGAAAAGGTGAAAATCGAAGTAGCAACGAAATATAATGCACCAAGAATCATGTCAATCTTTTTTCGTGTGAGTACTTTTGCAATTATTGTCAAGAAATTGATCATTTTCTTCCCAAAAATTCTCTTTTTTGTTTCATCTGAATTACTTGGAGCAGTTTGATTTTCCTCTGCGTTCATTGGCTGAGCAATTTCGTACTTTTTCCCAATTGGTCTGTGACCTTTGAAGTTGATCGATAAAGTGGCGATAACAATAGAAATACACGAGAATACAATACTAAGCAGAAAGTAGGTGCAGATTTTTGGAAAAGTCTTCGAAGTTTCGGGTACAAAATCGGTAACAATCATCAAGTTGACGCATAGTGCGAGTGTAACAGTCACTCCGAAACTCACTTTTTCGCCAATTTCTCCTGGAATGAAGAAAGTTAGGGTGCACAACGACAAAAGAACGGCGTTTGGAAGTATGAGGTTTTGGACGTAGAATTTGGACAGTCGTTTGAAGGTGACAGTTAAGTGTATGATTCCAAATTCTCCACCGCTGTATTGATGAACAACTTCAGCACAAGTTGCATCTTGAAACATTAAGTGAAATGAATTGAGAGAAGCCTAAGAAGCGAGTCAATGGGTTGTTATAAATTAGTTGTTATAGAATATAGATTACACTTTAGTCAGTAGTGAAAAACCTTCCTTTCAATTAGAAACAATGAAGCATTCTAAAAGCATCATATACATTGACTAGAAAAACGAACGGAAAAACTTGCAAACATTTTTTAAAAACGTTCTTTTTTTTGCATATATTTTTTGAAGTTTTTGATTACCAAAGTGGCGCTAAAAAATTATATTTTGATGTAAAACCATGATATATGTTAAGCAGAGTTTTGAAGTGTTAAAAATAATTTATTTTTTTCATGCCCCTGAGTAACTAGTTACTTTCCTCTTAACAATTTGATTTTTTCTAAAATTAAAAAAAAACTAAAAATTTTTTGTTATGCACGGTTAAATCAAAAACTAAATTGTAGTTTTTTGAGAGACATGAGCAGCTTGTATGGCAGTCTTTTTCCCCGATTCAAAGTTGTTTAATTTGATTACCTTTTATTTCCCATAGACTGTCGGAGACAAAAGAGGACAAATTGGATTGGTGATTCCGACACGAAACATTCAGTTCGGATAGCGAGTACTGCCACGAACCAATTTCAATGACACACGTTTTAATATCGAATGGAAAATTGGTCACATCGAGAGAACACGTGGTTTCAAAGTTAACTGGTCGGAACCATTTTACTTGGCCCGAGAAATGAACTTGAGCCGGAATGGTCCAGTCATGCTTTTCATGATCATGGCGCCCAACATCGTTGTATGGCAAAACATCGGGAGTCCAGATTACAAGCCGGTTGTATCGGATCCACTGGATGTCGCTGTAATCTTTTGGATCCCATGTCAAGTGTTCGTCGTGCCAATAAAGTCGCTGAAACATCAGCATTTGAATCGTTTGATCTTTAGTGTTGAAACCTACAAGTTGGTAGATTGAGCTATCGTAGTGTACCGTAATTGTCTGTGAAGCTAATTTAACTGGTCTAAGGTAAGGGTCATAATAATAAACCAAAGATCTCCGTAGCTCGCTTTCTCGAGATTCTACAAATTCGTCCCGAGTTGTCGTTTGATTACTCGAAATTGAAACTTGAATCTGAGACAAGAAGAAAAGAGCCAGGCAAAGTTTAGTGATGGTCATTTTGAATGCGTTGGCATGCATTATGTTCAAGTTTGGTGTTGTACATTTTTTTCAAAAATATTCAATTTTACTAGAAAAATAAAACTATACACGTTCGTCCCCCAAACAAATATTTATAAAATATTCCTCTAAACAGACTCTTTTTTAGGAATCAAGACTATTTGAAGTATATTTTAATAACTTCCTCATTTTTTATCCATCGCCGGTGTACTGTATGTTTTCGATATGTCAATTCAGCTAAAACAAACGTTCATAAACTTTACTACGCTGAGTTTTGAGAATAAAGTGTCTCAAATTCACTTTGGGAAAAAGCTCAACTCATAAATTGTAGCTCGTTCAAGTAAACTGGCACTTTATCCAACTTCAACATATCAAGAAAAAACCAAGTCTAAATTCAATCTATTAAAACTTTTAAGAGAAATCGATCTTATTATTTATAAATAATGAATAGAAAAGAGGTTATTCAGTAAATACTTTAATGTGATTACTGGCTGAATAAGATATCATCGTTTGTTTGAATTGGCAAAAACGATTGGCTTGATCTTCACACAAATTTAAAGTCTTTTGGAAAAAATTAATCGCTTTATCAATAGCGCCGCTTGAAAGGGATAACCAAACAATGTGTTTTTTTTGTGTGTTTTTGTCCAATGCAAACAAAACAATGATTAGAACACAAATTTCTACCAATAAAGTAAAACAAGGAAAAAATACTTTTAAGAAATGAGCGGCCATGCCCTGCGGCAAAAAGGCGAAAAATCCCTCATTAACGAATTTTTTCTAAAATTGAAAAAAAAACTCAAATTTTTTGTTAAGTACGGTTAAATCAAGGACTAAATTGTAGTTCTTTGAGAGACATGAGCAGCTTGTATGGCAGTCTTTTTCCCCGATTCAAAGTTGTTTAATTTGATTACCTTTTATTTCCCATAGACTGTCGGAGACAAAAGAGGACAAATTGGATTGGTGATTCCGACACGAAACATTCAGTTCGGATAGCGAGTACTGCCACGAACCAATTTCAATGACACACGTTTTAACATCGAATGAAAAATTGGTCACATCGAGAGAACACGTGGTTTCAAAGTTAACTGGTCGGAACCATTTTACTTGGCCCGAGAAATGAACTTGAGCCGGTATGGTCCAGTCATGCTTTTCATGATCATGGCGCCCAACATCATTGTATGGCAAAACATCGGGAGTCCAGATTACAAGCCGGTTGTATCGGATCCACTGGATGTCGCTGTAATCTTTTGGATCCCATGTCAAGTGTTCGTCGTGCCAATAAAGTCGCTGAAACATCAGCATTTGAATCGTTTGATCTTTAGTGTTGAAACCTACAAGTTGGTAGATTGAGCTATGGTAGTGTACCGTAATTGTCTGTGAAGCTAATTTAACTGGTCTAACGTAAGGGTCATAACAATAAACCAAAGATCTCCGTAGCTCGCTTTCTCGAGATTCTTCAAATTCGACCCGAGTTGTCGTTTGATTACTCGAAATTGAAACTTGAATCTGAGACAAGAAGAAAAGAGCCAGGCAAAGTTTAGTGATGGTCATTTTGAATGCGTCGGCATGCATTATGTTCAAGTTTGGTGTTGTACTTTTTTTTCAAAATTATTCAATTTTACTAGAAAAATAAAACTATACACGTTCGTCCCCCAAACAAATATTTATAAAATATTCCTCTAAACAGACTCTTTTTTAGGATTCAAGACTATTTGAAGTGTATTTTAATAACTTCCTCATTTTTATCCATCGCCAGTGTACTGTATGTTTTCGATATGTCAATTCAGCTAAATTAAACGTTCATAAACTTTACTACGCTGAGTTTTGAGAATAAAGTGTCTCAAAATCACTTTGGGAAAAAGCTCAACTCATAAATTTTAGCTCGTTCAGTAAACTCGCACTTTATCCAACTTCAACATATCAAGAAAAAACCAAGTCTAAATTCAATCTAAGAGAAATCGATCTTATTATTTATAAATAATGAATAGATAAGAGGTTATTCAGTAAATGCTTTAATGTGATTACTGGCTGAATAAGATATCATCGTTTGTTTGAATTGGCAAAAACGATTGGCTTGATCTTTACACAAATTTAAAGTCTTTTGGAAAAAATTAATCGCTTTATCAATAGCGCCGCTTGAAAGGGATAACCAAACAATGTATTTTTTTTGTGTGTTTTTGTCCAATGCAAACAAAACAATGATTAGAACACAAATTTCGACCAATAAAGTAAAACAAGGAAAAATACTTTTAAGAAATGAGCGGCCATGCCCTGTGGCAAAAAGGCGAAAAATCCCTCATTAACGAACAGCCAAAGGCCCAAAACTATTGTCTCCTGATAATTGTGTTGAAAAGTCAAAAAAGAGGTGAAAATAAATCAGCCCAGACTCAGTAAAAAGAGAAAAGAATCGATTATCTTACAATCATAACTGTACTTTTATTTTAAAAAAATCATAATTAATTAAAAGCGCCAAATTTAGATGTTTAAACAATTCATAATCATTATAAAGATAAAAGTTTCGTGGCATTATAATAGATTGAAATCAACTATAACTGATTTTAATTTTTCCGAAAATCTTTTCTAATCTCCTGCAATTTATCATAATCTATTATGAAAGATTCTAATCCTTTTTTTGTCAAAAATGTGTAAAAACCAGCCATCTTTTCACCCTTAGGTTCATCTGAACACAAACATTTACCACGAAACAAAAATTTGCACATTTTTCACATAAATCAACTTCTACGAAAGAATAAAATTTAAGCAATTCATGTGCAAGGTCGAAGACAAAAGGGGAATTAAAAGGGATTATAAACGTTTACAGTCAATTATAAGAGATTTGTCTGCAAAAAAAAGTGAATTAGAAGTAAGGATAAAAATATTAGACTATAATCAATTATAATGTATTATAATTGATTTTATTTGATTTCAAAAAGAGAGATTATAATAGAGTAGTTTTTCTGCAGGGTGTGATAAAAAAACTATATTTCAGAGATATTTGACAGTCATAGTAAAATGGCAAATCGGGAAACTGGAAGAATGACTAGGAAGACAAAAACAAAAAACATTTAAAAAGATTTTTTTTTAATGTTCAAAATTTTTCGATTCCCAAAATGGCGCTTAAACTTTTATTCCAGCGAAACTAAGTTTTCACGTTTCAAATTAAGCAAAAATAAGCTATTTTAAGCCTAATTGTTTGCTATATTTATTCAAATTTTGACTAAAAACTAAAAATTTTAACCTGATTTTCTCGATACTGGGACAACCTTTGAAATTTTTATAATTTTCGTTCGAATCACGACTAAAAAGGCTTCATTATGATGTACAAGTCGACCCATCCGATGATTAATTGTGGTACCTGATTTTGCGGTACCTGATGATTAATTGTGCTATCTGAAAAAAAACACCCTGAATACAAAGTTCTTTCCCATTTTCGATGGTCGGAACAAAAACCTGAATACCTTTAGCAAATAAACAATTTCACGTTTTGCTACAAAGAGTCCTAGAGCGATATTTCTGATAAAATAAGTCATCTCTTACAATGTGATACGTTTTCTGCACTGAAGTGGATTAAATTAAATAAGTATTATTTGTGCTATATGGATTTCATAACAAAATTAAATTTGAAAACAAATCGAAAACAGAAACATGGCGCACAGTGATTAGCCTAAATTGTCCGTTTTTGTATTTAAATCAAGATGACAGACAAAATTCAATTACAAGAGTTTTCTGAGTTTTCCGACTCTTCTCAAGAAGATCTACAGAACGATTTTGGATGAAATTTTTTACAAAGTTGTATATTGATGAAACTTCAAGAGAAATTTAAAAAACTGATTTTTTAGATTCTTTATTGAGGAGTTTCCCCATACACGATGTATCAAAAAAGTGATTTAAAAATAAGCAACTGACATTGCAAAAGAAAAGCAAAACACATTGCCTCATGTCAATTTGAACAATTTATGAGCCTAATTTAGCCGTAGAAATCTAAAATATTGCTTATAATGGATTAATCATCAAATGTACTCTTCGCATTATACTTAAGAAAACAAAAATGAATTTTTTTTCTATTATTGATTATAATAAATATTTTGATTATAAAATCAATTGCTTCAAAATTATGATTGATTATCAATTTTTTTCAGCCAGGCTGTTAAAGTATACTGTGTTCAAAGCTAGAAATGTTAAACTGTTGTTTTACGATTGAACTTTGGCGTGTATCAAGAAATTTTTGTTATCTACTTTCACTTTTCGCGATAAATTTGTTAAGGTTAACAAGTTGAATTTTTCGTTTTTCGCTGACTTTTGTTCAGCCCTCCGTTGATGTTACTTTCTAGGGAGGGGTTAAATAAGGGGATCCCGTCTACGCCCTTCATATTTACCGGTACCGCGACAACTCACAACAAAAGATAACTCGCAAAGCTTAAGGAAAGCGACAACTCGCAAGTTTTTGAAGCTAATTGAACACTTATATTCTCGGTTTAAGGTAGCCGGTGGGCGCGCTACGCGCGCGTCGCCGCTTTGCGGCAATAATTGGCTCTAAATTTCGTATAAAAGTCCTACCTTCTGTTGGCAAGCTCACAACACGTTGGCCGCGATTGCGGCGGTGAGTATTTTGAGAGTTGTCTTTTAATTCGAGTTGTCTTTTATTGCGAGTTGTCGCATTACGATATTTACCACCTCCGCAGGGGTTGCAAATGGGGTTGGTGGTCGAAGGCGATGGGTAGATGAAGGTGGTGATGGCTGTTGGGCTTGTGGTGGGATAGTGAGGTCGAACGTGAATCTGTGAACAGTGTGTTGATAAAAAGGTGATGTATGTGTGTGTGAGTGTGAGTGTGTGTGTGTGTGGGGGGGGGGAGGGCGATAATTGTAAAGGAGGCAAAATAATCTTGATTAAGTTTAGAACTCGAGCAGGCTGTGAGTAATGCAGAAATTTTGTCAAACTTTTCTTTTAATTTTGCAAAAAAAAACTGAGACTATATCAAAATCCTAAAAATTCAATCCTCTGAAAAACTTGGGTTCAAGTT